CGGTGGGCCCTGCACCCCTGTGGGAGAGCAGAGCACTCTGCTCCAAACCTCACCAAACAGCTTAGCCTAAGGCCACATCTGCACCGGGGTCGGGAGTTACTGGTACAGAAGCTGCTACCCAAGCTGGGCAAGGGCTCAGAGCATCAGTCTGAGCCGGTGTTTCACCCCATGCTTTGTGCACGCAGGCGCCCAGTGAGGTCTCAGGCAAGAGCATCTCCGAGGACAGTGGGGTTAAGGGCACAGCTTTAGTGCTTAGGAGAGGTGGAAGGGGAATTTATTTTCTGCTCATTCTGGTTTCCCCCTGTGATCTTAGTAAAACTCTGCATTGCCCTCAGAGGAGGGAGGAGGCACTGAACAGCAGAGGCTTCCCCCTGCCTTGTCCTCCATAGGGGTGCTCCATTGCATGCTGCTGTTGCCTGGACCAGCCCTTGGCACTTTGGGACAGCTGCATGGCAGAGGAGCTCAGGAGGGCTTGTCATCCTGCGATCCCCTGGTCCCAGCCTCTCCTCTCCAACATGACAGCTTTCAGGCGACACCGCAGAGCAGCGGTATTCTCCCGCGGGGTGGTTCAAAGCCACTCTGCTCATTTCCAGACCTTTCTGCAAACACCAGCTATTCCAGGCTGCGCACGGCTCGGCAGCAGTGGACAGCAGGAAACAGCTGAAAGAAAACATCCCCAAAGCGGTTACGGCACATTCCCCAAATAGCAACGGCCGTTCTGCGGCCGGAGAAAGGCTACAAACACAGCGGGAGAAGTTCAGTCTGCTGCCCTGGGAGCGTTTTCAGGCATCAGTGGCATGTGAATGCCCTTGGGAGAAAGCTCTGTCTGCAAACTGCAAACCCCGTTTTGTGTGAGCATCTCAGTCTTTCCAGAAGTCCCAGAGCTTTGTGTCCGGCTCTCTACGGGGTAAGCGATTCCTGCCGGCTGCTCCAGGCATGGCTCTCTGCATCTTGCCACGGCGAGACTGAGATGGAAAAGCCACAGCTGCTCCTGGCCGGGAGCTGCCAAACACCGGCCGCGGGGCGTCCTTGCTGGGACAGGCAGGCTCCTGCCTGCAGCGAGGCTCCCTGGCAGGGGGCTGCGTCCCATGGTGTGAGATGAGGCGGCGCTGGGAGCACTGAACGCTTCAGTGGCTTCACAACGTCACCCGAGATTTCGACTTCCACGTTACGCTGCCTGGCAGGCACCTGCCTCCTGTCTTCCTCCTCGTGGGAGAGGAACCTAAGGGACCCCCTTTCCCCACAGACCCACACGTCTGGGCAGGAGGAGGGCGGCTGTTTTATAACCCCCCTCTGCTACCACCCACATCTGCTGACCAAGAGACTTCATGGGACCCTCATGATTTCCCCTTCCTGATTCATGGGGTATTTAGTGACCGAGGGGAAAGGGCACATCTTCCCCTTCCCAGTTCCGAATACAATTGGGCCAGAAAACCTTCTTTCCTTCAATGAACCCCTTCCTTGAGGCACAGTCTGGGTGCTTTCCCCCTCCCACCCTTAGCAGGAGTGAGAGAAACCTGCCTCTGCATCCCCCTCCCGCTCCACGGGCAGACGTGCCCCTTCTCTCTGGTGACTTCCCTGCCCAATTTCAATAGCACAGGGACTTTATCAAGGCTGCGCTGAGCATCCCTGCGGCGCAGGCGGCCTCCGTGGCAACATACCACATGCACACACACACATACACACAAGTGCACACTCATACTCGCACACGCACCACCCGGTCCAGCCAGGGAAACCAGCAGAGCGCAGGACGAAGGGGTTTGGATGATCAGTCTTGTTGGGTGTTACCAGTACGGGGTTGTGGCCAGGAGGATCTGCAGAGCCATGGAGAAGCAGGGCAGCTGTGCCACGCCATAGGCCACGGAGCGCGTGGGCGCCTTCAGCCGCAGGAGGTAGGCGATGGTGTGGACGATGCGCCCCACGCAGAAGATGAAGAAGTGGATCCTGGCCACTGCGGGGCTGGGATCCAGCAGGGAGTAGACGGCTCCGAGGAAGAGGAAGGGAAAGATGTTCTCCATGTCGTTGCGGTGGGCCCTGGAAAGGAAGAGAAGGTTGCTCCTTCCCACCAGGCTTCCCTGCCATCTCCCATCCCTTCTAGACAGAGCATGCAGCTGGGCGTGGAGCTGGCCCTCTCCTCTGTCGGCCGGGGCAGATGCAGCCCCCAAAGGAGTCAGATCACGTGCAGACAGTGGGATTTCACACCCGGTGTCTCTCCCTTGGGATGCTGCGCTCCTGAAGCTTGCCTTCCATGACTGGGACGCCTTTGCTGTGACGGATGATAGCTTGAGGGTTAGAGCTTTTAAATAAACAAAGCAAAACAAAGACCCTGCCAAGCTGCAAAAAGCTCAAGGCTGGTGCAGCACCAGCACGGCATGGCCCCAGATATGGCCACGTTACAAGCAAGGTGGTTTCCAGAGGAGAAACTCCCAGGATGGGAGGGTTCGTGGCTTCGCCCCTCTCCGTAAGTGCACCCAAAGGGGACCAAGCACCCCCTGCACCCACACTGCCAGCAGCACCTGCTTAATTGCACCGTAGTCAGGCCGAGGGACTGCTGTGGCCATGTGATGACACATTAACACTGATGGGGCCAAACCCTGCGCTCCATCTGAACATACGCCTGCCTCGGTGTCACAGCATCACTTGCCACCACCCACACCGCTACTGAAACAGGATCCGATCATGCCATGAGCTGTGTCCCTCCTCCCCCAGGTACCATCCTTCAAAGGAGGGAAACCGGTCCCCAAAGCAGCAGGCTGTCCTTGCCCTCCCACCGCCTCTGCCTCTCCTTCTTTTGTTCCCTTGCGATGCAAGAGCTGCTTTCTGCAGCACAGGGCCCCGTCCCCGTGCTTCGACGGGGGGGACTCTCAGGTCATGCCCTGGTCAGTGGAGACAGATCTGGACTGGGGAGTGACACAGGCACAAGGCTCAGTTGCCTTTTCCCTACTATGTCTGGAGGTTTGAGAGGCAGAGGTGAAGCTTTGCTAAGAGATGCCCTTGCTTCCCCATTCCTGTGCCCCAGGATGTTTGAATGTTCACAAAGCCAAGAGAAAATTTTAAGCAATTTCTTCCCTGAAGCAAAGGCCAAAGTGCCAGTGCTGCTGTTCTGCGCAAGCTGAGAAGTGGCTGGGAAGTTTTAGGATGCTCAGTCACAACTCATTAGTGCAGACACAGGCTGGGATAGACCTGGCTGAAAACTGACTTTGGAAAAGAAAGAGGGCTGTGTTTTAAGCCCCGTCTCCTGCCCCTGGGGTCAGGTCTATGGAGCAGGAGATGTCCCTGTGTCCACCTTGGCAACAACCCCACCAAACACACCAGTATTTCCTCAGGCCAAGGTTTGCCAAAAGCTTCTCCATCAGAAATTTTCAACACCAAGTGCCCAGGTTTTTTGAAGGGTGACTGTTCCCAGGCAGGATCAGCCTCTGAGCAGGCAGATAGAGCAGGAGCTGTGGGGAAGTGCTCTGGTCACCTGGCTTGCCCCAACCTCCTCCCCCTCGCTGTGATGCCTGGGGACGGGGACGAGAGCAGAGGCTCCGGGTCCAGTAGCTGGTTCCCATCACCACGTCACATGAAATGACCTGTGTGCTGAACGCTGGCCACCGCCAGCATCCCTCGCTGCCCCCTTCCCACACCAGAGCCCAGGCCAGGCGCCGGCTCAGCAGGGCCAGGGCACCTGCGGGTAAATGTTGCACCTAAGCCATTTGCAGCCCCGGCTTTGCTGAAGCATGAGAGGGATGCACAGCCTGTTGTACCCAGAAAAGAGCTACCCCGAGGGCTTTCAGCACCCCATTATCCTCATAACAGGCACCAGGGCAAGGGGCTTTTTCCTACCTGCTCTTTCCACCTCTGTGGGGAGCAGTCCGCAGCTTAAGGGCCATGTCCCCAAGCAAGGCGGGGATGAACATGGCAAGGACCCTGATGGAAACCCTATTTCAGCTGCTCTCTGGGTGTGATTTTGGGACAGCATGGAGGCATTGGCCTAGAAGAGACACTAAAACGAGTCCTGCTGTTGTAGCAGTGATGCCAGGAGGACTCGGTGAGGATGAGCTGATCAGAGCTGATCAGAGTCCGGACATGGAGGAGACATGGCATCCTTGCCAAACCCGGGAGCGAGGCGGGGAGCTGCGGGAAGCCCTCTGCTCCTCCTGGCCAGATGGTCCCTGGGCAGAGCCAGTCCCTTCCCAGCCACGAGGATGGGCTGCCGCCCACCTGCTCAGAGCCCCTTCCCTTCCCAGCCCAGGGCCCTGCTCGCCTTCCCGAGCCAGCATCACCTCTGCGGGGACAACCACAAAACCCTGCCGCAGCCCAGCCAGGACTGCGGTGATGAGCATGGTTTGCTTCTGC